GGGCTAAAAATAAAAAAATTTTTAAGTTGAGCCCTGGCCAGTTTTGCTCAGTGATTAGAGCTGGGGACCAAGGGGTCACCAGTTGATTCCTAGTCATGGTTGGGGTCATGAGGAAGGCAATCAATTCATGCGTGTCTGTCTGTCTCTCTCTTTCTCTCTTTTCCTCCTCTACACCTTCTACTCTATCTAAAAATTAATGAAAAAAATATCCTGGGTGAGGATTAACAACAACAAAAAAATTATGTTAAAAAATTCAAACACCAACAAAGATAAATAAAAACTAGTTCTGCCTTACTTCATATCTCAAGATAATTTCACAAACTCCAAAAAAATCAGAAAGTTTTCAACGAAAAAAACTACACACCAAGGTTCAACACAGATCCGTTTCATATCCATCTATTAGTTATGTCCCAAAGCAAGCAAAATAATTATTAAAGAGCTCCTTTTAAATTCAGCCACAGAACCTAAAGCAAACAAAGATGAGGCATCAGATGGTATTTCCACCAATAGTAAACGTTTAAGTATGTCCTGGCAAACTAACAGGTATCACTGTAATGAAACATCAAATTTATGACACCATATCAATAAACTGCCAAGTTTCAAACAGCCCTGATTGAAGGATATAAACAGTATTGAATCTCATTTTTAGTAGGGGAAGGGGACACTGTAATTTTTAAAATTGAACACAAAAATCTATGGGCAAACAATAAAATGTATGTCAATTAGCTGAGAGAGTTCTTAGCCTACATAAAAGTTACTTCTTGAATATAAGATTTCAATACTCAGCAAATCTTTTCCCAAGGCAATCAAAGCCTATTATTAGTCTATCCTTTACAGCAGGGTCCACAAGCTACAGTCCAAGGGCCAAATCCAGCCAGCCTGCTTTGTGTAACCTTGATCTAAGAATAGTTTTTACATTTTTAAAAGGGGTTGCAAACAAACAAACAAACAAATATAAAAGTGTGATAGGGACCCTCTGGCCTGGAAAGTCTTAAATATTTGCTATCTGCCTTTTTTTTTCTTTTTTAAAAAAAAAGGTTTGCCAATCCTTGTTTTAAGGTAAAAAATTTAAAAACCAATGCAAACACTATCATCTGAAATCAATATGTTTTTAATCAGGAACTTATTAAATTCTTTCCTATACTCCAGCCAAGATTAAATCCAGAAAAACATTTTTAAACTTTGAAATGAGAAGTTTTATAGAAATTATTGCCACTTCTGGAAGTAGTCTCAGGCATCACTATAAAAAAGTTTTTAAATTTCACTAATCCTAAAATTTTTCTATACTTCCAAGGCATGTCACCTACTCAAGAACACTGTTTTAGCATGAGACCAAAAGAAAATCATCTGCTATTAATAGCTACATAATAAACCATATCCGTAGTAATCTTTTACTAACTTAACACTGATCAAGTTGAAATTTTCCCATTACCTCACAGCCTGCAAACTGACATTTTAACCTATCAATCAATATAAGAAATGTCTCCACCTGAAAGTAGTTTTGACTTAGCAAATTATTTATAAACTATGGGTGCACCTCCCACAGAATATGTAATGTATAACTTTTGTTTCGAAACAGATTTATACTATAAGGAAGTTTAACTGGGCTCAGACCAATGCCCTCTGTAAGGAAATACTTTAATATCAAAGTTTTTATGTGTAAAGAAGTTGCATTATTTCCTAAACCCTGAAAAATAACTTGCTACAGATTATAAACTTCATGTGAACAGTAGATGAAAAGAAATTACCAATGGCTCAAAAGACCTTAAGAGTTTTAATGAGTTTTATGTTTTTAAAGTTATTTAGTTATGTGGTCCTTATTTCTTCTCTTTTTTTCCTTTATTGATTTAAGAGCAAGAGGAAGGGAGAGAGGGAGAGATAGAAACACTGATGAGAGAGAACATAGACTGGCCGTCTCCTGCACGTCCCCCACTGGGGATAGAGACCACAACCTGGGCATATGCCCTGACCAAGAATCGAAGTGGCTGACCTCTTGGTGCATGGGTCGAGGCTCAACCACTGAGCCACACCGGCTGGGCTGGTCCTTATTTCACGAAACATGAATGACCCAGATTTCAAATTATAAAGGGTTGCAGCCTCCATTCAGTGAGTGGGAACTCAGTCTTCATCTGGAATGGTAGTGCCACTAACAGGCCACTTGGGCTAATCACTGTAACATCTATGAGCCTAGATTTACTCACTGGTCTATTGGCTCTCTAAGGTCTCTTCATCCATCTCTAGAATCCTGATATTGTAACTAAGGTTTAAAAAACCCTTTATGACCTGCCTCATTTCCCCTAGATTCTGAAGCAGCTCATGTACATACAAATGTGGTACAACAGTACACACAGAAGAACGCACACACACAAAACGAGGGAAAAATGAGCAGCAAAGTAATATCAGAAATTAACTTCAACATATCCCAATACTATCAACCTATATCATTTAATACAAAAATATTTTTAAGTCAGACTTTTGAATTGGCAAGAGGCAAAGACTCTCAAGGGCTCCTCTTAGGTTTTGAGGAGCAAACGGATACCCTAACTATATGAAAAAATAATCAAATGGTATTTGCCATCAAAGATACTTGAAAATCTTAGATTAAATAACATATACTACATAACCAATAACCAAAAACGTTCAAGAGAAAATATTTTTAAGTCTGAAGAGGAACCACTTCTTTCAAACTAGTTACCCCTAAACCTAAAGAAACCATTTGCTAAAAGAAGTCTTTAAAAATCCCTGTTGTTTTAAGGCATCCAAAAAGCAAATACAGTAAGCATACTTCACCTTGAAAGAAAAATGCAAAGCTGCCTACAATGTAAACTTTTATCAAGAAGTCACTTTTCAAATGATTTCAAGTTTAGCCCAAGTTTACCTCCTGAACTTGAGAGAGCAAATGAAAGGGAAGGACAAGCATCAACAGCCTTATTTCCCATCTGATACCAGAGGAAGAGACAGCCCATGCAGTGAGAAAAAGACTGGGCACTGCTGAGACCCATCTGGCCCTCGCAGAGGTCCAGGTCCAGGTGGGGAAGAGCAAGTGCAATCAAAGGCCAGCGTGGCTTAAAGCCTTCTTCAGACTTTCTTCAGGTCAAGTCAGTTTTGCCATTTCCTAAATGTGAATTTCAAATAAAGGGTCTTGAATTGGCAAGAGGCAAAGACTCTCAAGGGCTCCTCTTAGGTTTTGAGGAGCAAACGGATACCCTAACTATATGAAAAAATAATCAAATGGTATTTGCCATCAAAGATACTTGAAAATCTTAGATTAAATAACATATACTACATAACCAATAACCAAAAACGTTCAAGAGAAAAAGTTTCCCCATGTAAAGTGCTGTAAAAAAACACAGAACTGCAAAAATGTCATATATTACTTTAAGAAAAAGGTCACAGAAAGGTTTAATATCAAGATTTTATTTCCTTTCCACAGAATAAACAATAAACAAAAGTTCATTAATTGGTCGAATCACTAAAATTAACAGAACTCTAGAAAAAAAATAAAAGCTCAAAATAACTCTCAGCAGCAAACTTTCATTTTTGCCATAACAGAACTGAGAAGCAGCTGAAGAGACACAGTGAATTTGTTTCATGTGCCCGCTGTTCCCTAACAGCAAGTCCGGGTCTCAAGTCAAAGCATGGCCCTTGAGCAAGGCAATCACTGCCTCTAGTACTCCCATCTGGGCTGACCCTATGACTTTCAGTAGCTCAATTTCCTCAATAACTGAAACAGTTGTTCCAGAAAACAAGCCACCTCATCCAGAACCCTCAAGTTGCACAACTGCAGAGAGGAAGTGCCAAGTTCAGAGAGACCAGCACAGACCAATCAGGGTCAGAGACTGGTGAATGAAGGTTTCCCTTCAAGCACTTCCTCACCACCCTAAGAAACGTCTCCACCTTTCGGAGAGTTGTTTATAAGATTTAAAAGCTGAATTACTTCAGGGAGCACCCCCCACCGCCACCCCGGCCGCCAATCCAGGCCTACTCTGACCCAGAAGTCTTTCTTCTTCAGCACATTTATGCTCCCTGTCCTCCCTACAGCAGCAGTGAGATGCATGGAAGCTACTGGGAAACTGGACAGCACTTCAGCGCATGTCTTGAAAGAACCAGTTTGGAAAAGCTCACATAACTCGCATTAAGGAAAAGCTGCCAGACCATCGAATTTTATATTTAAATGGGGGTGAATTTACAGTATGTAAACTATATTTCAAGAAAGCTAAGAAATAAAAATACAGAGCTGCCCAACTGACAAGAGTTAACCGTATTCTTCAAGATAAAGGCCGGAGACTAAACTCAGATCTGTTTCAACCCTTCAAAATTAAACGAAATGAATGGCTGCGGGTCCAGGGAGTGAAGACTAAATAAACTATTGTTTGTGGTGCAATCACTGCATATTAAAGCCTTCTTCAAAAGGAAACAGCCTAAGAGGGTAGTCCCCAAGATGAAAAAAAAAAAAATTCACTTTGAGACTTTCAAAAAATCCTAACTACGTTGATGTGCTTTTCTCCCCTGTGGCTATTTCCACATATAATTACTGTAACATCAAGTGATTAAATTTGCAACTAGGAAAGACTACAATGTTGAACAGAGTAGGAACAGATACCAAAACTTTGGAGAGTACTTTCCCATTATAAAGCCTATCATTTCGTACACTACATTCCAGCTCTAAGTGGCTTGTAAACCACTTGCAAGGAAATGAAACCCCTTCCCCACCAACCCAAGTCATCGTAACAGCGGGGGGTGTTTTACAGCAAAAATGAGGCCTCAGCGGTTCCCGGACCGAAGGCTGCAGGGCTGCCTTCCTTCGCCCGCCGCCGGGGTGGGCAGGGGCCTGCGAGGCTCCACGGCCCCGACGGCCACGCGGCAGGGCCCGGACCCCGAGCCGGGTAGGCCGGGGCACCGCTGATCGCAGCCGCGCCTGGCAGTGGCCCAGGGTCCTGCAGGCCTTTCCCAGGGTACAGAGGCTTCCACCCGCCCGCCCGCCCCAGGACGCCCAGTACCTCATGCTGTAGGCGCCGGCGCCCAGCTCCTGCCCGATGCCCGAAAGGCTGGCGTCGAAGTCGTGCACCAGCCCGGACTCGATCACCTCGTCCATCTTGAGCACCCAGGCCATCTTCCGGCCTCACTGTCGCCCGGCGCGCAGCGCGGCCTCCGCGAGCGGGGCGAAGAGGCCAGAGCTCCGCGGGAGCGTCCTGGGGGAGGGTGCGGGTGAAGCCTCCGGCGGCGCGGCGAGTGGTCACCAGCGGTGGCCCGGGCAGCGGCCGGGACTAGAGCGGCCGGGGCCCCGCGGGCAGGGCAAGGCGAGGAGCTCCAGCGGGAGCGGCAGGGCCGCCGGCAGCGCCTCCCTCCCGCCGGCGCCGACCCCGCGACTCATGCCGCCGCCGCCCACCCCCTGCGCCGCTAGCGCTGCAGCCGCCGCCGCCGCCCGCCCCACCCCGGGGCCCCGGGCTGCATCCTCCCCAGGACTGCGCGGGGGCGGGAGTTCAGCCCGCTCCGACGACCACGCGGGGGTGAGCCCGCCCGTCACCCGATCCCCGGCCTCGACCCCCGGGCTTCGGCCCTCCCGCCCAGGCAGTACCGCCCCGGCCAACCCCGCCGACGCCGCTCCGCGGGCGCGGACGATGGCTTCAACACAGCTCCGTCTCGAGCTTACTCGCCGCTTCCGCCTCCTACGGCTCCGCCCCGGCCCCGCCCCCGAGATCGCCCCTTCCCCAGGCCCGCCCCGCAGGGCCCGCGCTCGGGGCGCTCGCGGCGCTGCACGGTGGAGGCACTACCCCAGAAGTGCAGCGCGACCCCGCCCACACGGCAAGTTCCCAGCCCCTGCGGCCTAGCTGCCTGCCTCCCTGACACCGGCCCAGGAAGAGGCGGGGCCAAAAGGGCTGCCATTCCGCCCATGTAGAGACGCTAGTTGATTGACAGGCCAACTGGACAATAATGGCAAGTTCGTGGTCGAAGCTCCCGTGAGTCTCTGTGCCCCTGTACTAAACAACCAATCACAATGTTTTTCCTCTTGGATGGGTTCCAGGACTGAATTTTCTGCCAAAAGAAAGAGTTCATTGGGCCGCACTAGAGAAGGGATCCCTAAACGTCACTTCCTGTGGTGCTTTACTACTCTATGGTCTTTGTGGGTTGTCTTTGGATTTCGCTCACACTACAGATGTGGGAGCAGTTGGGAGTGTTAGCCAATAGGCTCGCACCCTATTGTGGACTGAAAGGTCCATTGGGCAGAAAATCTTAATTGACATGAATATAAGCCAATCAATGATCCCGAGAAAGGGTTCTGGAACGTGTTCCCACAACTACTGATTCTTGGGAGCAGCATGGCGAGCTTGAGTTAAACTATGGATTCATTCGCAGTAACAGCTGACAATCATGTTGTCATTTCTCATGGTTCTGGGATTCACTGAGCTTAGCTAGATAATTCTCACTCAGGGTCTTTTCTATGGGTGCAGTCATATAGCTGGGCTTCTGTATTGAGGAATACAGAAGAAATAAAATGGAGTCGGTATAATCAATCTGTCATATTAAAATTAACTAGGTTGAGGCATGAAAACATGATTTTATTCTTGTTTTAACTAGCCTGGGAACTTAAACTTTTGAACTTCACAGTCCTGCCTCAATGCTTACATATACATCAAACCTCAGACAAACCTCTCATTATCCCCTGAAGGACTAAGGAAAGAATGTTCATATCCAGACTACCTAAAATCTGTTATCCATACTGCCTGACATCCGTTATCCAAACCACCTGACATCTAGACGATTACAATTTGGACCAATCCACAGGCTAAGAATGCAGGACGGATTATTCTCAAGAATATACTTTTAACTGTAAGAACTCTCAGCTTTTCTTTGTTCTTAAGAACAGTCTGGATATTGCCTAGTTGTGTGTCTGGTTTGCAAACCCTAAGACCCTTGAATAAATATTTCTTTTTATCCAAATCCTGATTCATTTACCATCAGTCAACAATAGTCCCTGCTTCATGCTCAGTTGGGGCTGCTGGAATGCCTACAAGAATCCTGTAAGGTGCATTTACCCAGAATTCCCCCTTACTAACTTGATATTTTCTCTTAGTAATTTTCCATCCACTGACCCCCAACCTGCTCCTCCTTGACTCCAAATTCCCACTTACCCATATGGAGCTGAGCCCAATCTCCCAAACTGTAAAATGCCATTGCAATGGTCCTTATTCCTATTGTGATGCTCCTGAATAAAGTCTACCTAACCATTTTAACAAGTGTTGTAGAATATTTTTTTGTTAACACTTAACACCTGGGACCAGAAACAAATGCAGAATCTTTATTCTGTACTGTATTTTATTAGTCAAGAGCCACATAATCAGAGTGATGGGAGTAGAGTGAAATAATTTGGGGATCATGTTTTAAAATTTTCAAAATCCACCTTCTGGCCACAATTGTTTTCTATTCTTTCCATGTGCAGTATACACTCACCTCCTCCCCATAGCCCTACAAAGCTCTGGTTTTATTATAGCAGTAAGGTCCAGGATCTTGTGGGGCACTGAAGCATATGAGGCTCTTTGAATGCAGTTCCTTGGATGTAACTTTTTTTTTTTTTTATCCTCACCCGAGGATATTTTTCCATTTTTTGTACAGATAGAGTGGGATGAGAGAGAGGAAGGGAGAGAGAGAGAGAAACATCGACGTGAAGGGACACATCGAGTGGCTGCCACCCGCACAACCAACCAGGGCCGGGGACAAACTGCAACCAAAGTACGTGCCCTTAGCGGGAACTGAACCCGGGTCTCTCCGGACCGCAGGCCGACGCTCCAACCGCTGAGCCAAACTGGCCAGGGCTTTTTTTTTTTTTTTGGATGTAACTCTTTAAGTGGTTCCTTCCCATGTGAATATTTGTGTATTAAAAAGAAAAGTGAGCCAGGCTGGTGTGGCTCAGTGGTTGAGCATCAACCCATGCACCAAGTGGTTGCTGGTTGGATCCCCAGTCAGGGCACATGCCCAGGTTGTGGGCCTGATACCCAGTGGGGGGCATGCAGGAGGCAGCCAGTCCATGTTCTCTTTCATCTATGTCTCTATCTCTCCCCTCTCCCTTCCTCTCCCCCCCAAAAAATCAATGAAGAAAATTTTTAAAAATAAAGTAAATAAAAAGACAAGGGAGCCCTGGCTGGTTTGGCTCAGAGGTTAGAGCGTCGGCTTGCGGTCCAGAGAGACCCGGGTTTGGTTCCCACTAAGGATGCGTGCCTCGGTTGCAGTTTGTCCCCAGCCCTGGTTGGTCGTGAGGGTGGCAGCCACTCAATGTGTCACTTTCATGTCGATCTCGGTCTCTCTCTCCCTCCTGCTCTATCTGAACAAAGAATGGAAGGATGTCCTTGGGTGAGGATAAAAAAAAAAAAGACAAGTGATATGCCCCAACCACTACCACATATGTCTCGTTCAATGATGGGTGAGGCACAGAAATCTATTCCTATATAGACATTTCCCTCAAAGGTGGTGGGGGGTGGTGTGTGGAATAGAAGGCACATTGTAGTCACTAGTCCACAGAAATTCTGAAATTCAATTGGATAAATGTTGCCAGTTCCTTGATTAGGACTCCATCACACTTCCTGGGAACACCCAAGTGGCTCTTATCTCCATCCATTGAAGTTATCTCCAGTTGCATGATTAGTAGCCCATGTTTACATCTAAATAGTTTTCTTAGCTGTTTCCTGTCTATAGTTGTGCAGGGATCCTCTCTTCATGTTATACTGTCACTGCCCTAGTCCAAGCTGATACAATTCATTTTTAAACTTTGTGGGTTTCTTGTGAATTAATTTATAATGGAATCCAATAAATAAAATGATATCAACAGCTATCCAGGGGAACAGTTTAGCTGTATTGTTCTGGGTTAGGGTTTCTCACAAGGTTACAGTCAAGATAGCAGCTGGAGCTGCAGTCATCTGAAGGCTTAACTGGAGCAAGAGGATCTACTTTCAAGCTCATTTGCATGACTGTTAGCCAGAAGCTTCAGTGTCTCAACATTTGGGACCACAGGGTTGTTTGAGTGTTCTCAAAACATGGCAACTAGCCCTGGATGTTGTGGCTAAATGGTTAAAGTGTCCAACGCCTGTGCAACTGAAGGGTTGCAGGTTCAATCCCAGGCCCAGTCAGGGTGTGTGCAGGAGACAACCAATTAATGTGTCTCTCTCACATCGATGTTTCTCTCTCTCTCTCCCTCAGTCCCTTCCATTCTTTTTTTTATCCTCACTTGAGGACATTTTTCAATTTTTTTATTCAGATAGAGCGGGAGGGAGAGAGAGGAAGAGAGACAGAGAGAAACATCGATGTGAAAGGGACACATCGAGTGGCCACCACCCGTATGACCCAACCAGGGCCGGGGACAAACTGCAGCCAAGTTACGTGCCCTTAGCAGGAACCAAACCCGGGTCTCTGTGGACAGCAGGCCAACGCTCTAACCACTGAGCCAAACCGGCCAGGGCTCCACTCTTTAAAAAAAAAAGGAAAAATATTCTCAGGTGAGGATTAACAAAAACAAAACAAACAAAAAATGGCAACTGGTACCCCTCAGTACCTTTTAAAACCTAATATCCAAAGTCACACACCATTCCTTGCACTTCTGTTCCACAGAAGCAAGTCATTCAGTCCAACCTCCAAGAAGAGGGGAATTCATCTCCATCTTTTGAAGGCATAAAAAATGTCAAAAAACTTACGGACATATTTTTTAGCCAGAACAGCCACATTCATCATTATTACCAAATAATTTTTAAAGGCATTAAACAGCAGAATTAGATCAGAAAAACAAATCGGAGATATAAACATGGAAAGGAGGAGGGTAAAATAATCACTGTTTATAGACGGTATGCTCTTATACCTGGAAATCTCATGGGAAACAAGTAAAAATGTAAGAACATGGTGGTATACACCATGAATATTCATAAATCAATAGGTTTATATAAACAAACAGCGAAAAGGATATTTTATAAGATTTAAAAAGAACCTAATAAGAAGTGTAAACATAGCCCGGCTGGTGTGGCTCAGTGATTGAGTGTCAACCCATGCACCAAGAGGTTGCCGGTTCGATTCCTGGTCAGGGGGCACATGCCCAGATGGTTGGCCCTATCCCCAGTCGGGGGCCTTCAGGAGGTGGCCAATTGATGTTCTCTCTCACTGGTGTTTCTATCTCTCTCTCTCCTTCCTCTCTCTCTTTCTAAAGTCAATAAAGAAAAAAAAAATATATATATATATATATATAAAGAAAAGTGTAAAAATCTATGTGAGCAGATTTTTTTATTTCTCAAAATGAACACAAAAGT